TGAATGCAGCAATTTGTTCAAATCATATGCACAAACCATTGCTTGATCTTTAATTTCAAGGCCAGAGTTAACAGATTTATGACCTAACTCATGTTCAGGAAAATGTGTTGGTTTGTTTTTGTTAGAAGACTATGTATAATTCTGAGACATCACCATGACATAAGAGGCACATTACACATCTATGCCTTTGAAAAGAAATCAATCATAATGCTTAAATTAAAATTTTCAATATAGTAAGAGTATACAAATAAAAAAGGAAGATAGAAAAAAGAAAAGGAATGAAAACAGGAAAAACATAGTTACTCCTTCCATTCTTCTATCAAATAACTATTTGCTTATTTATCAAAAAGTCATCAATTTGATCTTTCTTCTTTCAACCAAAAGTCCATGTAGTTTTCAGTCTTTTAAATAAAAATGTGTCATTTTTTGTAATGTTTAGATTCTGATTAATGCACAAATTTACTTACCTAAAGTATCCTTGTGTACTTCAAGCAAAAATCCATCATTGAAATCTGGTTCACAGGCACATGGAACAGGCTTAGAGCGGAAACGCTGGTTCCGGAAATGTAAGTAAAGAGTGAAGGTAGAACAGGTTTGACCAGGCAAAGGTTCAGGTTCCTGAAGATGCTCTAGGAAAGCTTTCCCCCCCAAAACCTGAAGGTAAAGATATCTTCGTGTTGGATCAATATTTGCTGTAAAGTATCGGAAAAATATAAGGTAATACAAATGGTACATAAAATAAAGATAGCAATATTTTTTTAAATCAGTAGGATCTTCAGAAGCATTAAAAAACTTCTTTTAAAATAAGAATGTGCTTTACAATGTTCACCTAATATTTATTTTAAATATTTAAGTTATTTTCCCATCAAATCTATAATAGTGTTTGCTTTTGACCAAATTGTGACTTATTTTGGGTACTACAGCGTTATATTATTTAAGATCTAACAATCGTATATTAAATTTTTCATCTGTATACATATCTATCTATCTCTCTATAAAGGGGAAAGAAAATGAAAGAAGTGTAAACAAATCACAGAATGAAACTCTTATCGTTAAAGTTTTATCAAGATAATATGTAACATACTTTTTTTCAATATTGTTGGTTGCCTGTCAACAAAGTGTGTAGATGGTTTTGGAGTGGAAATTCTTTCCCTGTCGTTTATATCCTACAGATACAATTAAAATAAAGTTAAGGTCATTTTCAAATCAGATTTTCTTACACTTCTGTAAATCTTTATTTTTAATTCTTTATTTTATTCTATCAAAATAGCCAACCCAAGAATATAGCTTTATGATTCAACACTGCTAAATTACCTTTTGCTGGTTATTCTAACATCCATAAGCAAGTAAACTCTTTAGTATGTATTTTTTGAAATATGCATTAAATAAGAACATTCTAATATTTGCATTTCAGCATGCCCAGGTATTTTATATTCTCTTATTCGTTGTTTTGAAAACTAGTATATTTGTCAATAATTATATACACCAAGTTCAGATCCATTTTGGTCACAAGAGGCTGTAGCTGAGGGAGAAACAGGATGTTTATTTATCTTTTATTGTTTGGTGAGAACACATTAAGTGGTAATGGTAGTAGAACCTTCTCACTTCTATTAAATTCAGAGATGGAGAAATTTATTATGCTTATTCTCAGCCTTTTAAGTACTCAATGAGGCCAAATTTGTCATCCACTTTCTGTACCTTTTTTTGAACCTCCTCAGAGTGGCTTCTTAAGGATATAAATGAGATGGCATAGCAGAAAGAGGCAAGTTTATACCGAAGAGGCAACATACACCAGGAATGGCCTTCCCTTTGTGTCCTAACCTCTTATAGCTGTTGCACTTCCAAATCAAGCTGCATTTTGTTCCACTTCAGTAAAGAAACAGAATCAGAGTTTATATTGTTTTAGATAATTTTATATCACAAAAAAGCCTGTCAGAAATTCTTTGTTCAAGAAGAGCACTGATTTTATTATGCACATTCATATTACTCCAGAATGTTTTTTTCTTAATGCAAACTGTACTCACAGACACAAAATTGAGTTCTTTCATAACATCATCAATGATTCCTCGTTGTGTTAAGGCTTTAATTAGATCTTCCTCAGATAACTGCTGATGTTGAGGTGCCAATTCTTCTTTTATGGTCTCAGCAAGAACTGCTCGAATTCTGCTATGAACATCCATCTAAAAGGAAACATCTTTGTTAACAATTCCTAAAATATATTACACCCAATCTTTTAAATAGATCATTCCAAAACAAGAGCAGGATAATTCCTACATGAAAGTAAGTTTGGTTTTTCCATCAGTAGAAGGGCTTATTCCAATGCACAAAAGGCATAGGCATCCATCAGCAAAGGATAATATTTTTAGCCATTCATCTTTCCTTTAGCATTTCTATAAGATCTTTCTGACTATCAGACCTGTTCAGCATAAGCGTAAGAGCAGTGCTGAGCCAATCTATACCAGCTTGCAGGACCCAGCTGGTAAATTTTCAGAAAGTGATTGTAAACCTACCATCCCCAACTCTGCTATTAGTGAAATCCATTAGCGATATTCATGATTCAATCAACATCTAAACAATTATAAAGTTGTAATAAGTGCTTCTTTTTAGCTACTAACTTCAAATGCAATATTAATGTTCTATGACTCCTCTTACAAATTACTCAACAGCACTAGAATGCACTTTTACCGTGTTTCCCCAAAAGTAAGACCTACCCTGAAAAAAAGTGCTAGCTTGACTTTGGATTGGGTCTAATATACGCCCTGCCCCAAGAATAAGCCCTAGTTTTGGGGTGAGGCACATAACTAGAAAGCTGTGGTGGGGGAGGGGAGCTGCCCCACGCTCCCTGCACCCACTTGCCTTGCAGCCAAGCCTCTCCTCGCCGACCCACTTCTTCTGCAGCATCCCCAGGCCTGCCGATGTTGAATCCATAGCTTGATTCTCGGCTGCAGTGGCCTTCCAGAAAGGCCTTTGTCTGTGAAATGCAGGCTGGAGCTCCATTTTCAGTTGCAGAATGAAGCTGTTCCTTTGGCCACAGAAGTGAGCTGGCTGGGCAGGGCTCTTGGTGCCAGAGGCGAGTGGAAAAGACACCCCCCCCAAAATAAGACCTGGTGCTTCTTTTGGAGGGAAAAAAAAAGGACCAGGTCTTATTTTGGGGGAAACACGGTATATCCATGCTTCATAAATATTGGCATTAAATCTTGATATTTTCAGTGTTTCCTTCTTTTCTTCATAGCTGACTCTTCAAAATGTATGTGTATTTTTTAAATTAAGTCCTGAATTCAGGTAGGTAAGTTAAATATTAGTCAGTTTATAATTTATAGCCCACTATACATTTACACTTCCACTGGTTATTTTACTGATTTGTACGTCTTTAAGCACATATTTTTACAACTGAAAATAAACTTTTAGCACAGGTTTACAATTTTATTTTCATTTTATATGTGGTTATAAAATGGATTCAAACAAGTTTTTGTCCAGCTTATTTATTGTATTACTGACTTAATACTCTTCCTTCCAGCTATTACTTGATCAACAACTGGCAGTTGCATTCTAAATTTTCTATCATACATTTAGAACCTTCCATCCTTCTAAGATTGGTAAAATGAAGGCCGAGATTGTTGGGGGCAATATGCTGTTTCTGTAAACCGCTTAGAGAGGGCTATAAAGCACCATGAAGCAGTATATAAGTCTAAGTGGTATTGCTAGAACTGACATTTTTCCAAAGGGAGGTTTTAATTTAAATCTTTACCGTCCTATATCAGTTTAGTCACAACAATGTATCATCTCGATTAACGCAGTCATTCCACCATGCCACTTTTTCTTCTCTGTCATCTTTTTTCAAATTCATCAAAACAAACCAATGACCAAGTTTACGCACTTAGCTTATGCCAAAAATTGGCATTATGTAATCTCAGAGCAATATGCACCCAAAATCTCCTTTTTACCATTTTTGGAACTATTTCTAATCATAACTGATGAAAGGTTATCACAAAGTTTCCTTCCATTTTTTATTTAGGAAAGTTGCAAGATAAGCCTTAAATATCATCATTAAAAACATTAAAAAACAATTTCCACAAACTTTCCTGCAAAAGCCCAAATTCCCTATTTCCCCACCTCTTCCACTGCGCTTCATCAGCCCCTCCTAAATGGTAAAGGTTGTCCAATCCATCACAAAACATAATAAAAAATAAGCTTACTTTTCGTTACACAGCTTTACAATCCACAACAGACAACTTGTCACAACATCCTAAGCCACAAGCATCATATTTTGACTTAGCATGTGAAGCAAGCCTGAATATTGCCTTTATTTTATGAATCAGAACAATGCTCTGAAGAACAGCTAAAGAGCATGTAAAGACTTTAAATAAACAAATAAAAATAGGTTATAATTACTTTCCCTAGAATTGCAACAATGAATTCGCATCATTTATTAGTTTGTATTGCTGTCTAGTGTGCTACATGAACAAAATTCTCGAACTTAGTTTTATCGTTTTGTGTGTCGGGCGAAACTGGACAAGAGTGGGGGGAAAACTATGATTAAATTAAACACGGGCAAATTTCGTCGTGAAATACCCGCCAGTGAGATCACACACAGGCTATAGCTGGGCTGGTTAAAAGGAGAGCCGAGCAGCGAAATAAAGACCCTCAACCTTCGTCAGCTGCTGGTGAATGATTTCCTTTAGTTCCGAGGCCTTTTCTGGCGGCAAAACCATCTTCCTCAACCGGCGTTACAGAAAGCAGAAATCGTGTCGGTTCCCAAGACAAAATCCCTTCGCCATCTCCGGGAACGCAGCCCCAAACCGCCCGCACCTCCCGCCCTCCCGCTCACTGGCCCGCTCGCGCCCTGCCTCTGCTCTGCGAGCACCCATTGGCTCAGTCGTCAGCCAACCAGGGCCTGATGCCCCACCCTCATTTGGGCAGCGGTCTTTCATCCCAGCCATCTTGCCAAAGTGCGTCAGCTAAAGTCTGTTCTAAATAATCGCCTGAGAAAAGTCGCGCCCTTTCTGTTCTCACACCCTGCCTCCTAATTTCAGTCTGACAAGCAACTCGGTCAAAGCGATGTTTCGAAGTTGTTCTTTCGCCTGCGCCAACCCGTTTTCAGTATAGCTGTTGCTACAAAGGAGAAAGACTGACAGGCACCGACTGAACACCTATTTCTGCCAAGGACAGTAGAAGGCCCCAGGACGTAGAAATCGGCACGCTTTTCTCCCTGTTTTTGGATCGCTACGAGGTGTTATTTCCTGAGTGCTTTGTGGTGCGATCCTTGCCGGGATGTTCGTTTCCTGTGATGGCTGTACGTGTTCCGATTTCAAAGGCTTCACGCTCCTTATGGTAAAAGAAGCATTCATTTTCTTGAGCTTTATAGCCAAGTATCTGTTTGGTCGTTGTCGGGCAACCAGAGAGCGGCACACAAAAACGAGAGTGGCCCGTTTTGGAACTCTGACCTCTTCAAGGGTCCGCTTGATGAAGTTTTAGAGCAGGGGTGGGGAACTGTGGCCCTTTTATGATTTGTGGACCTCAACTCCCAGAACTCCTGAAAAGGCTCAGGAATTCTGGGAGTTGAAGTCCACAAGTCATTAAGGGGCCACATAGTTCCACACCTCCGTTTTAGAGGGATGTCGAAATCCTTGGGGCATGCTTCGAATTCATGGTTCTTTTCTCCGTGTCTTTCTTTTTCTTTTCTACTCATTGTGATTAAAAAGACATGATCATGCCAGTTTTATAAAATAAATATCATCTGAAAACAATGCTACTGTCTGAGTTTTCTTTAAAATGAGTAGAAGCATTCTTTCAAATAAGCAGATTTAGGACAATCTAGTCATTGGATTTTTTGCAGCCTGGATGTACTACAGCCAAGATTTTTGTAGCCCATAAGTAGTTCTCAATTTATGACCAATCACTTAGTGACCATTTGAAGTTATGACAGATCCACAAAAAGGTACTTACAATCTGGATTTGAAGTTTCCATGGCTAGGTCCTTTCTGAAGTCATGTGATTGCTTTTTAGGAGCTTTTATGGCTGTTCACAGCATCCTGCAATCACATAACTGCAATTTATGGTTTTTTGCCCAAAACCAGTGTTTAATTCTGATTCCATCAAAACACAAGTGGGTCATATACATGCCTTGATTTAGGAGTCATGACATACAATGGAAATTTCAGAATCCATTATAGTTGTAAGTGGAGGACTATTTGTAGTGGTACCTGAAGCTTCTGGTCTGAAGGAAACCAGATATACTAATAGATTATTCATATGGTCCAGCAGTGTTCTTGTATTAGGATTTTTTTATCAATTAACAATTGTAATGTGTTTAAAACTCATTGTGTTATTGAGACCTTCTGAAATTGCCTGAAACTTATTGATGTATACGAATTCAATAATTTCTTGCTCAATGGTAGTCTTAAAATTCCCCTTTCCCTAAACAGTCGCTTTAAGGTCTGCCGTGAGGATCCCAGATTGGAATTCAATAATTTCTCTTGTTTTGACCTTATTTCTGTATGGTAATTATGTACATTTTGGCAGACTTATATGTAATCCATTTTTAACTAATCACATTTTGTGTCACACCCCATATAAAGTTCAACAGAAGTACAATATAAGGACATGTAATTTTCCAGTTCAAAAGTACTATTCAATTATTCATAATGTAACAGCTTTGTTTTAATGCAGTAGGTAAATACAAAAGTATATAATCAATATGTTTGCAATTGATTAAGACTTCAAGTGAATATATAAATACAAAATTTCTTTAAATTAATTTACAACAATATTGCAATTTAATCTTATGGTTTTACCGTACAAAATAGATACATAGCTAATTTGATATTTCTTTCCAGTGAATTAGAAATAGAATTAGTATTTGAGATGATATTTGCCTTTTATCTAATTTCAGCCAGCTGTATCAGTGGGCAATGTAGGCCAGTTGGCTATAGATTTAGTCATTTCTACACTTCATATGCCCAGAGTTGGTTACTTTTATACTGATTGCCTGGTGCCAATGGTTGGAAATAATCCATATGCAACAACTGAAGAGGATGCAACCAAACTATGCATAAATGCTGAAGGTAGGTAGTGTAAATATAGTCTTACCATCCACTAAATTGGGTATAGATTAGGCCAGTGTTTCCCAAACTTGACAATTTTAAGGCATGAGGACTTCAACTCCCAGGATTCCACAGCCAGCAATGCTGGCTGTGGAATTCTGGGAGTTGAAGTCCACATGCCTTAAAATTGTCAAGTTTGGGAAACACTGGATTAGGCACTTCAGATGTGTGATATGATTTAAAGATGTGTTTGCAGAGCAGTTGGATCCCCCAAAAGCTACTTAGGAGTTGGTTTTGAAGTTCTGATATTGCCTATCCCCTGTGTCATACGATTGCATTTTGGGCACTCTGTAGCTGGTCCACATTTATGACCATTTGCTGCACCCTGCACTCATATGCCTACTATTTATGATGGTTTTGCCAGAAACCAGTGTTTACTTCAGTTTCCTGCAAAAAAATGGCCCATTGAGAACAATGGGTTTGCTTAGCACTTTACAACTGCTGCAAAAAAAGCAGATGATGACCCACTTCATGACCATCATGGCTTACATCCATAATTGCCAGGATCAATTACAGTCATAACTCGAGGATTACCTTATGTTTTCCTTACAGATGAAACCCTAATCAGTTAGTTCCCAAAATGATTGATACTAAGGATCCTGAATTTTAAAATCATTATGAGATTTCAGAAATATTGAAAACTGGAAACTGTAAATGATGGGTGTTTGTAAAATGTTTTCTCTTTTTTTAAAGGGGTGCTCTCATTGTAAATCTGTTGTGTTAGATTTTTGTCAAAATGCAACAGAGGCATGATTGCAGAGCCCTTCTTAAATTTTCTGGCATCAACTGTAATATGATTAGTTAAAGATAATTTAATGTTAGTGCTGACATGTTGCTTATGCTATTTTTTCCAGTGTATGCAGCAGCATCAAAAGAATTGGTGGTTCTGCAGATCAGATCACCATTCATAAAGGTATGTATGCCCATGTGGGATATGGAAGGTTGTTGTGTAAGATGGCATGTATATGGCATAAGCATAAAGAAAGACACAGAAAGACAAAGGAGCAGACAAACCAAAGTCGCCTGAACACCTGGAAGAGAAAGGAGATAGATAACAGAAACTAGACTGTTGTCTTTTTTTTTTATAAGAAGGGATGTAGTATATGGGCACGATAAATGCCATTGTTTATAGCACATAATGTTAGTTTTTCTAATTACAGCAGATTAGAGTCCCAACAGTAGAGAATAATGTAGAAATGCTGGGATAGTCAAAATAAAGTCATCCCATAGTGTTATCAGAAATAACATTCTATTTGTAAAGGTCACTATGATTTACGTTGGTTTCTTTATTATTCCTGTGCAACTGTTCTGGGAGCGTATTACTCATGATTTTACTTAGTTTTGGGATCTTTTGCTTTCATTTGGCTGGGAATCAAGTGATCACTGTCCTTTTTGCACACCGATAAAAGACACTTTGGGCATCCAAATGCTATGATTTCTTCTTTAATTGGACATTTTCCCCACAACAGAGACATGAATTAAACTTCATGTCAAAGTTGAATAATCATGATTATCCTACAAATAATTGTGTCAAAGATTTTGGTAATGCAGCTTTATGAAAAGCATCAATATTGTTTACTTAATGGTTTTAACTCTTTAAATTATTTCAATAAGAGTGAAAAATAACTGAAAAATGAAAAATCATTTTTATTTTTCATTGGCAATAACTAACAAAAAAATATTTGCATAACTATACAAATTCCAGAGTGTTAAAATTATAGATGAATTGATAAGATTCAAAAATGCAAAATTCTAACTTCTTGCTTTGCCTCCTGGTGTAATAAAAGAATAAATATAGGTTGTTTTGTCAAATATTGCTCTCGTGGGTGAAAAAATGTGGATTTTACAAAATTGTTCTCTTGTCAAGCAGTCATGCTTATCAGCGCAATGACCAACAGCTTCATGGGTAAGTCTTACAGATGATATAATTGTATTCATAAGGCCAATTGAGCATTATAGCAAGAGACATGTACTTACCTAATAGAAGTTTCCTTCCTCATCTCTTTCTGGTAGCTCTCCTTATTCTTTCCAGAATCTACCTAGTGAGTTCCTTACATTTTCAGAATATAAGAGAGAAATAGAACTATCCCAGGAAAGTGTATTCTGCTAGCTGAAAAGTATCATTTAGTATATTCCAAATCTGCACAGTTTTAGTTCGCAATTACTTTTCTGGACAAATATTTTCCAAATGGATGAATTACTAGGAGAAAAGAAAGTTCTGATTTTGTTCAGTTCATATCTCTATAGACTAGGTATAGATGTGTACATGTATAGTATATATTTTAATAATTTTTGGTTAGGTCTACAGTGCCCAGTTTATTAATTAGGATCTTGCAATACTTAAGATTCAACAGCAAAACGGTACTTTGGAGTATATGGGTGTGCTCAGGTCATACCTGCCTGCATCTGTTTGAAGTATCTATGTTCATGAGATTAAATAGCTATCCTTTGCAGCTGCAGTATGATCTGAGGAAAAACATGTTTAGTTTATGGAGTTGTTAGTTGTTAGTTATATGTTGTTATGCAAGCTCAGGACAGTCTCTGCGCACCCTAATGAAATGGATGAGAGTCATTAAGGACCATAAAATGGAAGCACTGTGAATAAACATTTTTCTTATCCGAGAATTATTGCTTTGAATAAGAGAGAGAATGTACAAGGCACTCTGTGGCAACAAGTGCATTTTTCTAGTTTTCAGCTGAAACCACTTTTGGACAGGGTAACCTAGTCACAGTGATCCATTTATTAGCAATCTCAAGAACTTTATTGCAATATGCTATTTCAGTTAGATTTTAACTGGTTCTTTTGAAAGGTTACAGTTCTGATTTTTGCAGCTAAACTTAAATTTTATGTTTGTCGACAGCACTGCATTGCGATACTTGATTTCACCTGCCGTTGGCAAAACAGTGGGAAATATTTTGGAGAGACTGAGCGGTAGTGAATTGGAGCAAATATCAGCATTTCCTGGAGTAAATGATGACAAAATATTCTATATTCCAGGAGGTGGTATTACAAAACTATTATTCACAGAGAGGTTGGTGTGATGGTAAAGTTTTAATATTGAAAAGTAACAGATTTTTTTTTTTAAATATGAAGTAGTCAATGAATCATTGCTTGGATCCAAAAAAAAATAAATCATAAAATTAAGTTTAAATGACCAATCATGCATTAGAGTGTTATTTTTCAATAATATTTTTTCCCATTCATTGGTGTCCAATTCTTGGAGACTGCCTGCAAAACTCCCTGCAGTTTTCTTGGCAAGGTTTTTCAGAAGTGATTTGCCATTGCCTCCTTCCTAGGGCTGAGATAATGTGATAGGAACAAAGTCACACAGCTGGCTTTGCACCCAAGGCAGGATTAGAATACCTTGTCTTCATGATGCTTTAAGTAGTAAACCAAACTGGCTCTCATTTCTGCAATAATAGTGTTCTAAGTGCATACAATTGCTTTCTGAAACGCAGGAAAATTTCTGACCCAATTAATGAAATGGAAGTAACACAGCAAGTGGGATTTGAATTCACCCTGGTCCTTGCTAAACTTTTAGCCATAATTAAAATGATTCTTTAGATTTTAGTCTTAGATTCAAAAGTAAATGTTTCTGGTATGTTCCTAATCTGTTAGTTTTCTTTAAAATGCCTGTTTTGTACACAATAGCAGTTGGTTTCTTTTTGATTTTGATAAAAGTTACTTCTAAGACAATTATTATGAGGCAAATAGATGGGGAAGAAATGGAGGTAGTGACAGATTTTATTTTTCTGGGCTCTAAGATCACCTCAGATGGGGACTGCAGCCAAGAAATTAAAAGACGCTTGCTCCTGGGGAGGAAAGCTATGGCAAATCTAGACAGCATTCTAAAAAGCAGAGACATCACCCTGCCAACAAAAGTGCGTATAGTCCAGGCCATGGTTTTCCCAGTTGCAATGTATGGCTGTGAAAGTTGGACCATAAGAAAGGCTGAGCGCCAAAGAATTGAGGCCTTTGAACTATGGTGCTGGAGAAGACTCCTGCGAGTCCCTTGGACTGCAAGGCGTTCAAACCGGTCAGTCCTAGAAGAGATCAACCCCGACTGCTCTTTAGAAGGCCAGATCCTGAAGTTGAAACTCAAATACTTTGGCCACCTAATGAGAAGGAAGGACTCATTGGAGAAGAGCCTAATGCTGGGAAAGATTGAGGGCAAAGAAGAAGGTGACGACAGAGAATGAGATGGCTGGATGGAGTCACTGAAGCAGTAGGTGTGAACTTAAATGGACTCCAGAAGATGGTAGAAGACAGGAAGACCTGGAGGAATGTTGTCCATGGGGTTGCGATGGGTCGGACACGACTTCGCAATTAACAACAACAAAAGTTAGATCTTGTATATAAAGCCTGTTAAAACTTCACAAAATGGGCATTTATAAGACTGGTGTTCAATTTTTGACTGGTTAAAAAGAGATAACTGACTTTTCTCAGGCTTCACACAAAATATGAGTGGTAATATTTCCCTTTCTTCTTTACAGTAGTTGTATCTTAGTGCTAAATCAGAAGTGTAGGAAACAATAGGATAAAATATAAGCATATGTTTTTTATAATTAATATTACCAATTAACTGTTAATGTGGACTAATATGTGAACAGATGTTTCTCTCAATCCTTTAAAGTTATTGAAACAGTATGTATGTGTGTGACAATATTATTAGGAAACACAGGAAAATTCATTAATACTTTGTTGAATTATCACATAATTTTCTGAAAGAGAGGCTTTGCTTTGTTAACTACTTGTATGTAAAACTTACACAATGTGCGACAAGCCAGTTGATTCTAAAAAAAGCAAAGATAGATTAATTTAACAGTCTTGTTTTCTTTTGGGATAAAATCATTCTTTAAATATATAATGTATCCTGTTCCTCTTGTACAGTATTCACAATTTACAGCATAATTTACACCCGAGATGAAGAGTTTGTTGAATTTTTCACACCACCTTCATTTTATTTTTATTCCAGTTGTTCAAAAGAAATTCCACTGGTAGTTTTGCTGAAATTTTGCTCCGAAGGAGATAATATTCCTGATGCTTTTGCTCTTGCCGATTACCTTAATGAAGTTTTACCACTAATTTCACCTCAGGTAAGTATGTGTTCCATTACTTTGATTTCGGGAGTTAAGGAAGATTCTTCACAAAATTGCTTACAATTGATTATGGAGCCAGAATTTAGTTGAAAATGTATTTACTTGTCTTTTAAAACACCATAATTTTGTGACCTTTGGTGGTTCATTGAAATACACATATATACATCACTATTTAAATAAATATATACAATACTATTTAAATTTAAATTAATTCAAATTATAATGGTATCCCAATAATAGCTAACATTTCAATGGTTCTATGTAAATTTATTAGTTAAAAAATCTCTAGGAAAGCTTTATTTTAACTTATATTTGGGAAACCAGCAAGATTACAGCAAGCTTTCCTATAGAAAGCTATTCCATAAAATGAATATTGCAGTAGAAAAGTATTTCCTTCTCGTCTTGCCTATTCTTCCCTCTCCCAGTTTTACAGTAATAAAGGATTTTCATAAGTTTTCTGTGGGTCAATTTTGAATGAAGGATGGAATTATGAAGGTGTATAGTATAGTATAATATAGTATAGTATAGTATAGCATAGCACAGCACAGCACAGCACAGCAAAGCTCAAAACTACCATTGTATCATAAGGATCTCAAATTTTGCAAAATTCTTCAGAATAATTAATTCAAAAACTATTTGGTGATAATAGACTACAGATAGTCCTCACGTAATGGCTGTAATTTGGGACTGACAGCTCTGACCCTAAGTGAAGCATCACTAAGTGGGAAATCACATTAACATAGCTATATTTTCTGCCTGGAAAGAGACAATACAACTCGGTTTCTTATCTTTGACTTTTGTTTGCCTCCTAGCCAATTACACAACTGGGGGAACACCTGAAGGTAGTTATTTTTTTTCAACACTGTTGTAAATTTGAACAGTTGCTGAACAAATGGTCAGAAAATGAGGACTATCTGTAGTCAATACCTTTTGATTCATTAGGCCACTCCAACAGTTACCAAATGCTAGGTTTTAAATATATCAGGTCAAAACCAAAAATGATATGTAGCAGTTTTTCCAAGGTGAGTTCTTTATTGTTTCACAGCTATAGACGAAATCTTGCCAGATGGAAAATTCTATCTGTAATCTACAATATACTCTACAAACTATTAGGCAGATCTTGTGTCCACTCTCTTTCTCCCAAGCTTTATGGGCTGAGTTGCCTCCTAGTCCCCTGGAATGCATCCTCTCCCTCCTGGGGATCCATCTCCTTTATTACATTTCATCACAAATATTTAGGTTAATGGAATTATACTGCTGGAAATAATTTGCTTTTTTTTTTTTTTAATCAATAGAATAGCACTTCTCAAGCAAAATCTCCAAGATGGAAAATACCAAGTTCCTGGAAACTACTTTTTGGTAGTGGTCTCCCATCTTCGTTGTTTTAAATCACATTGTTTTTCACATAGTCCATTTGCATCTACAGGCCTATGTAATTTTGTGTGAAATTATCACTTTTCATGGATATTTTAATTTACTGGAGCAAACTTATATCAAAACTGGATAAAGTTGGACATAAAATAAATCCTTGGCATACTTTTGGTTCAAATATCAAAATGTTCCATGCTTCTTCTCATTATACATATTTAATTTCTTCTTAAGAGTAAATAAAAGAAAACTGAGATATTCAACATGTATATCACTGCCATTTTTTGTCACATTTAGATGCATGTAACATTTGGACAAGAAGCATTATGGGTTATGTGGTGATCTTCTAAATGTACTCAGAAAATTTTGTACAAAATAATGAAGATTTTAGAAAATCATGGGTATTATATTTGACTTAAGTCCAAACTCAGCCTTCTTAAAACAAGAATTTGAGGCATATAAAGATCTGTGTTCATGTTACAGGAAGAGGGTTGGTTTCACTGTAAAATGGGAACATGTGGTTTAGAGTTTTAAATGGTTGCTTTTTTAATTTCTTTGTAGCTTTAACACTTGATACGTAAGTACCCAAAATTGCTGGTCTTACATAAAGCAGCTGTAAGTACTTAAAAGGGCAGCAATGTTTTCAAATGAGTTATGTTAGTATTTGGTAAATAAGTTATGTTAGTATTTCTAAGCTGGTTAAAATAATTCTGTCACTACAGAAGAAACTGATATTGGAGTGTCCCAGATGCAAAAAAACCTTTGTCTTGTGCCTGGTTTTTTTATTTCTTTGTTAAATTTCTGTTTAAACAAAAACAAATGTATTTCTCTTTATGAGCAATATAATTCACTCACGCAAGCTCCAGATTTGTTCCAACTTTCACTTACGTGTAAGAATATGGTAGGTCTAATTCATCAGCACTGCCATAGCTGGACATAGTTAATTTTAAATCCAGATTCTTTAAATTTTTCAATTATTTATTTTTGTTTCCTATTTTTAAACCGCCCATCTCCCTCATAGATATAAAAACATGAGAGTGGATTTGTATCAGTGAGACAGTCATTTTCTTTTAAATACAAAATGATCAGAAAATGAACTTTTGAAGATGCTCTGGATCAGGGCTGTCAAACTGCTGGCCCACGGGCCAGTTGCATCATATGGAGGCTGCACCCACCCCAGCTCCAGCAATGCAAAAAAAATCGCAATACGTCACGACATGTGGCAAGTTTGACATCCATGCTCTGGATAGACCTTCTTTCCCCACTGCATCTTCTAATCTAAAATATGTATATTCAGTACTACCATGATAGATTTTGTCATTATTTAAACATCATTCTCTATTTGTAATAAATTTGATAATGTGTTAAATTCTCACTGAAAATAGAGCAAAATAAAATACAAGTAATCATGTAGAAATATTGCAGCTGAAACTGAGAGTAACAATAGATTAAAATAGAATTTCTCAGAGCACTGCCACTAATCTTTCTGGAACTGGATTAAAAAATATACACACAACAGCATATAAATTAAAAAAAATATTTAATGCTGCCAAAAATATAAAAAAATACAAGAATGGCAGTACAAAGATTTTGTAAATGTGATCTTACAACTCTCTATAGTTAATACAAGCATAAAACACGTAAGACAAATTCTCTTTTGCAAAGTCTCTTGCTGGTGATGTACTTCATTCCCTGTTTGTTTACGTTGTAAACAGATATTTATGAGGCCACTTGTGTATTGCTCAGACCTCATTTTTGTTTCCTGAAGAACAGTGATGTCCTGTTTTGCATGTCAATAGTGTGTTATTATAGCTGAAGAACATTCTCAAGTCTTGGCAATTTAGGCATCAGTCACTCTCGGCCTATAAACACACAATGTAAAAGAGTCACAAGTTCAGTACAGTCAGGAGTATAATTTTAAGGTTTTATAACTGCAATGTAAATATATCAGTTGTTTTAAATCAAAGATGAATTTATTAATGAGTGGATACTGCAGCTTGGATATATATGTATGTGTATGGGCATTTTGCTATAACAAAGTGTCCTTGAACTAAGTTATAAAATCACAAAAAATCTATTTTCCTATTGAATTGGTATAAGAAACAGTTCACTATCTGTTCCCTTTGGAATAAGCCACAAGTATACTTTTTAAAAAGTAGGCTATACAGTGGAAGTGTAGCAAATATCTTGACACTAGGTATCACATTTTAGAAAGAAAATCTAAACAAAAACTTGCTGAATGTTATATAACATTGAAGGGCAAGAAGCAATATAAGGAATCAATATAACCATTACTGTTATAGAACTGAAAGAAACTGAAAATAGGAAGGTATTTTTAAAATGCTTAATAATTGCAATTAAGTGAATCAATGTATTCATAAGAATGTATATTGATCAAGCGTGTTTTAAAAAATGTATTTATATTCATGAAAACACTACAACAATTATTTTTTGGAAACTGTTAGAATTAAAGTATCCAGCTGCATTATACTTTGTGCTTATGATTTGTGTGATGTGGATTAATGAACCTGAACAAAATAAGACAATATAATTCACTCTATAAAATGTAGCCAAATGCTTACCGGAGAGGGAGCTAGAACATTAAAGCTGAACAGAAAAATGCAGGGCTATAGTGCAGTAGAAGAATTCTTGTATCTTATCTTTGTAACCCCCAGGTATGAAAGATTTCCAAAATCTAGGAAAGTTGCTGCCAATCACACAGTACACAATGTAAAGCAAGTCTATATTATTTATTGGGGGTAGAAATAGAGCAGAATGCCTCAACTGATTATCTTTGTGTATAGATGTACACCTAAAACAAAGCCTTGAAACTGGTTAATCTCAGAGGGAACATTTACTGTGCTTTCATGTTTCCTATGTAATAGATAAGTATGTGTATATGTATGTAACGACAGTTTCGGATCAATGCATGAAAATATTTTTTAACAATTCTACCATACTTATGTTTCAGCATCATCCACAAATTTTACAAATGGCAGCATGAGTCATACTACAGCATAAAATGGAAGAGTTGATGCCAGATGTGAAGGAGTGTTCAGTTAAAATACATTGTTTATTATCTTTCCAATTATAAATTGTAGGCTAGGAAGGATGAAACAAATAGCAATTTTGTTTTCTAGTATTTCTATTTCTTTTATGCAGTAAAGGGCATGAGGAACTTGGCATTAAATATTTCAATATTTTCAAAACATGGGGTGCTATTTTTTTCAAGACTAGAATTTATAAGAAACATATATACTAACACTAGACTGTAAATTGTATTATTTAGCCATAAATAAATTATTGTTGGTTAAACCTAGAAGGTATCCTCACTGGCAACATGGTATTTTCCAGAATTTTCTGCTCATAAGATTTGGAGAAGATTTCCCAACAACTCTGAAGAGCTTGCAGGATATGAGAGCAAAAGATCCAGTTGTCCCAAACATATCAACTGCCTAACATATGTTGTGGCCCAGAATTTTGTATTTTCATATGGATCATGATGATCCATCTACTTTACAAAGTGATGTTTTGGAACATTTAAAGATGGATAAAAACTGTATTTCTATCAGGTCAGGTCAGTTTAATTATTTTAAGTATGAGATGGGGCTTATAAGATACTTGGATAAAGAGGGGTGCTATAAAGGATATGGATGCCAAAAGCTATGATAATAGTGTGTAAGATATGTGTGAAACATAATTGGTTACTCTTGTTCAAATGTTGTGATAAAATGGAGAGGATTATTCTTATATATAGCTTGTGCTGCAGCCCAGTGCCAGCAGCTTCATAAATTTTAATTTGCACCCTCTTTCCCTGTTAAATCTACATTATGGTTATTTGCTTCCATTTGTAATGCTTCTGATACGCCCTATAATTTTATTTTCTGAAATTACTATCAAATTGGCAATGTGCTGCCTATTCCAATTATAGACAAAGAAGCTATAGAAGAATATGACTCAAATCTGGTAAGACCCACAAAAATGTTTCACATTTAATGGAATGTTTAAGCTTTAAATACAAGCTATGGCTTCCAACAGCTGCAGTCTTAACAAAGCATTTCTTCCAAAGAGGCAGCTTGAGACACAAGATTTAACCTCCCAGTAGCCTTATAAAATTAAATATTTTCAAATAAAATAGTAGCTAAGCATAAATACATATATGCATCATCTTACAAGTAAAAATTGAGGAATAATTATTTGCTAACATTTAATTTCTGAAACAACAATTTATTAATCATTGCACTGGGGAATGGTCCAGAAAGTGAATTTCCAAGTCAATCTTGAAAAGTTTGTGGTAGATGCACCAATCACTCATTTCTATTGGATAAATTCATACAAATGTAGCTTTTAAAAATACAATTATTTACAAAATGATTATATAGTTATCAAATTTGCTTTACGTCTGCATAGTATAAATGGTTCATGGTACATTAATAGAGAAATGTAACTCTGCATTCAGAATAACACCACACGGTTTATTGCTTCTATCATGTATGTATGTCATCCTTCTGGTGACTTGGCCATTCAGGCTACTGAACTATCAATTTACATACCATATATATATATATAGTTGCTGAAAATGTGCATTAATTTATCTAACAAATGTATAATTTTAATTCAAGTGGCAATTTGGTTTCAGAAGTACCAGTATCGAAAAATCCTGAGACCAATTTATGATGATGTCAATCACTGGATGACAAAAGACTTCAATGGTGCAAGTTAAATTGCCCCGGCAAAGTAAAAACACATTTGTTTTATCAGATGTGGCAGAAATCTTGGATTCATTTATATTCACTTTAAATCCCACTAAATCATGGGATATAGGATTCATAGTAGATGCAAGACTGCTCACTTACTTACATGAGCATGTACTGGGAATACAATTTCCAGGAAGAATAAGCTATAACAAATACGACTGAACCAAATCCAATCTTAATAACAATAGGCTTCCAATATAACCACCTTTTTCTTTTTCTTTCAGATTCACTCAGCCTATGTTTCATCTGTTGCACCATCTGTGCTGTGTTAGCTTTTTTGTCTTCTCGCAGCCTTTTCCGTAAAGCCCTTAAAAAAAATAAAAACTTTAGTCAGCTCTATTTTGAGTTATTCCATGCATTCCTTAATTACAAAGCTGTATTGGTTAATACATGAAAAGCAATAGTGAGATAAACATTTTAATACTTGGTTTTAACAAATTAAATTGAAGGATGCCATTTTAATACTTTATCATTTGATAAAGTAGACCACAACCTACTTGATAAAATAGAAAAATGTGGGTTAGACAGCATCCCCACCAGTTGGATTTGTAGCTGGCTGACTGCCCATACTCGGCTTCTGGTCCTCAATGGAGCTGCATCTACATGGAGGGATGTGTGTAGAGGGGTGCCCCAGGGCTCTGTTCTGGGCCCAGTGCTCTTCAACATCTTCATCAATGATTTGGACGAGGTTATAGATGGGGAACTCATCAAATTTGCAGATGACATGAAGCTGGCAGGAATAGCCAACACTCCAGAAGATAGGCTTAAGATACAGAAAGATGTTGACAGATTTGAACATAGGGCACTATCTAACAAAATGAAATTCAATGGTGAAAAAAGTAAGGTTCTACATTTAGGCAAGAAAAAACAAATGCACAGATACAGAATACCTTGTTCAATAGTAGTAACTGTAAGAGGGATCTCGGAGTCCTAGTGGACAATCACTGAAATATAAGCCAGCAGTGTGCTGCAGCTGCCAAAAAAGCCAACACAGTGCTAAGTTGCATTAACAGAGAGATAGGATCAAGATCACTTTAATACCACTTTACAATGCTTGGTAAGGCCACACTTGGAATACTGCATCCAGTTTCGGTCACCATGATGTAAAAAAGATGAGACTCTAGAAAGAGTACAGAGAAGAGCAACAAAGATGATTAGGGGACTGGAGGCTAAAACAAAGAACGGTTGCTGGAATTGTGTATGTCTAATTTAACGAAGAGAAGGACGAGGGGGGACATGATAGCAGTGTTCCAATATCTCAGGGGCTGCCACAAAGAAGAGGGAGCCAATCTATTCTCCAAAGCACTTGAAGACAGGACAAGAAGCAACAGATGGAAACTAACCAAAGAGAGAAGCAACCTAGAACTAAGGAGAAATTTCCTGACAGTTAGAACAATTAATCAGTGGAACAACCTGCCTCCAGCAGTGGTGAATGCTCCAACATTGGAAGTTTTTAAGAAGAGACTGGACAACCATTTGTCTGAAATGGTATAGGATTTCCTGCCTGAGCAGGGAGTTGGACTAGAAGACCTGAAAGGTCCCTTCCAATTCTATTACTACTACTACTACTACTACTACTACTACTACTACTACTACTACTACTGGCAAGCTCCATTATGGACACATGTGATAACTATTGAGATACCTTTGGCTTAACACACGCCCCCGCTCTCCCTGGTGTCATGGTTAAATACGCAGATCATTAAGTGAGCATGGAGTGCTTCCTGGGTGGGGGAGGCCCTGGGAGATCACCCATTCAGCAGGGTCTATGAAGGAGGCAGACAAGTATAGCAAAAAAATTTCGCAAGTTCCATTATGGTTGTGGGTCAAGGACTACCTGTAATTAATGTTAATCCATCAATGTATGATACCACCAACCCTTAACTCAGCAGTACGTTTTTTGAGATGACATCTCTAGTATTTATAAGATCATGTTTAAAAACCAAACAAAAACGAATAAAAATTTCTTGTGCTAACAAAACTTGTCAGTGGATGTGTATTATTCTCTCACATCCTGTAAGTACATTCAGATGTCTGAAGATAAATTATCCATAGCAGAATTCTACTGGCAGGGAACTTTTGTTTCCTTCAGTGGCAAATGGATTCTCATACAAAGGATATTTTCATACTGCTTTTCAATGCTCGGTGCTACTCATAAAAATAATAAAATGTAATTGTTTCAAAATTGTTGGGACTATGAAGTACAGAATTATTAGCTGTCAGGTATCTCTGGGGCCTGGGAAAGAAAAATACTACCATTCTGTAGTACAGCTAAAAAAAAAAAAAAATCTACAAAATTCCAGGATAAATTATTTTATTAATTTAATTACTTTGTGTATGTAAAAAATGACAAAGTCTTGTCATCCGAAACATTAGATAAAATTAGTTTTTGTCCACCAGTCAGTTTTAATGATATTATAAAATTATTACTTACTTGTCATCATTCGTATCTGAATCATTTTGTATGGGAGAGATCAGATCAACATCTCCTGGCTCCTGTTCTTCTAAAAACATGCTATTTCCATTGTATTTTTCTGCAGTAGGTTTAGTTGGGTGAGGAGGCGAACATTCAGAACTTGGTGCTTGGTCTTCTTTTGAGAGTTCCTTCCAGCGATACTGAATAGGAAAAAAAAATGTCTTCACTAGTTGAATCTTAAAAGAACAGTATACAGGTAGTCCTTGCTTAACTACTTTAACTGGGGCCTGATTTCTGTTACTAAGTGAGTGGTTGTTAGGGGAAACATTACGTGACTGCACCACTTAATGGTGACAGTTCTAGTAGTTTTGATGCCGTCATTAGTAGTAGATAGTAAAGGTCAACTGAGATTGGTGGAATGTAGGGCAGCCAAATGGGCAGAGATGGGAAGGAGATAGGCACGGGAATCAAAGCACACATGCAATTGTGACAGTGGCTTAACTACCAAGCATCAGAATTTGTTTATGTCACTGAAAGAGTGTTGTGCTGGCTGTAACTTTGAGGACCGTCAGTAACTACCAGTACCATTGTAATTTTGAACTGTAACTGAACAAACGTTTAATAAGGGAGGACTACCCGTATTCTGCTTTCGTGAAATTTACTATGACCCATCCAGTGTGACTTAAAAAGCAGACAATGTATTTACCTGCATAGTGGAATCCCCCATTATATATTTTGCTCCTTCTATTACAGCCATGTATGAAAATCTTAGTTGATCAGGAGTCTGAATCAGTCCCATCCGATATTTTCTCATATTTAATAATATTTGCTTGATATCTACATGAAATGGGTCGTTTCTTTTTTCCATCTGGAAATGAAAAAAAAATACAGAGTTTTGGTGGCAAATTAACAGACTAGATCTCTTCAATTTTCATTTGATTTCAGTTTTAACCTGTCTCAAGATTTTTAAATTAATAATTTTAATTTCTGTGGCCTATTTGTACAATATCTAGGTAGGTAGCACTAGTTAAACATAACAATTAATGCAAGAATGAAACGGCGATTTCAGGTGAAGAGATCACAATGTACAAAATACTTGACTTCAATAGTGCATACATCTAGCATTCCAGTTTAACGTCTATGAAAGGAATTGGGTCTCCAAGGCTTTGTCGAAGGCAGATAAGGACTGACTCAAAATCACCTAGACCAGGGGTCTTCAACCTTGGCCACTTTAAGACTTGTGAACTTCAACTCCCAGAATTCCTCAGCCAGCAAAGCAAGTCTTAAAGTGGCCAAGGTTGAAGACCCCTGACCTAGACTAAGGGAGGCCTGGACCCTCTGAGTCTACTGATTTGAAAACCAACACTTTAATTACTACATCAAACTGCCTCTTTATTATGATAGTGAAAATGGAAACAATACCTCACTTTCTTGAAGCTGAGAAGACTGTTTTATAAATATACGAAGCTATAAGAGTTCTGCTATAATACACTATTTTCAAATCAGTGAAGAGAATAATGTGTACTTACAGTGTAATTTTTCAAGATGATAGGGACTTATAAGATAAAACCAAGATTACTATAGCTCTTTTTACTTTCCTGTAGAAATATGACTTTTATGTCTGCTTCAGCAACCTCTAGTTTGTTATAGTGATAGTTTTAGAGGTCTTCTGTTTCTTCATTTTCAGGAAAGACATCATTTATGAAACTGTCCAGCCATATCTCAACATGGAAATGATTTGAGCAATCTCAATTTAGGTCACACCTCAAGATGAAATATAACTTAATTCCATTTCCTTTTTCAAATATTATGGCACACTAGAACAGACTAATTTGTGGCCCTGATCTGGCAAATCATTTGGTTTTTGGGCAAGGAGTTTGAGCTAGTTCAATCCTGCTACAATTCATAGTTTCTTACAATTTCTTTCACATTATCTCAGAAAAATCTGTGAGTTTTCAGATAAGTAAACCTACCACAATAAGACAAGTGTCTACCAATGAAAATGTACCAGAGCGTCCAATTCCAGCACTACAATGAATGACTGCAGGTCCATGTTCGGAACTCAGAGATCCAGATTCTCTGACTTTAAACAAGAAGTTGAGGAATGAAGCTGGGGATTCAGGAACTCCAAAATCTGGCCATGTAGTATAGTGAAAATGTAGTATTACCCTGGATTCATCAGTCTAAAGAAAAAAAGAGCAATTTAGCAGGACACAATGTAGTCAACTAAAAGAACATGTATCAAATATGGTGGGGGAAAAGAAATAATTTCATGAAAAAGTCTAGATGGCCCAGAAAGTAAAATTCTGTGATGTTTCCTCACCTTGAAAAGCCTTCTGGAAAAAAAAAAAACACCAAGATAATTGGAGAAAAATTGATTGACCCAATTGATTAATATTCAACTACAAGGCAACACAAAAAATGAACTTATTTAGTAAAAGGAAGATTCAATTATGTATTTTCAGTGTAATTTCTTTTCTAGATACTTCAGAACTCTTGATTCCCTTTTGCCATATTCTAGACGTTATGGTATGAGACTTCCTCCCAGCAGCTCCATAAAAGATCTGGTTATTTAAATGAAGCATCTGAATAATAAACACTGAAAGAACACCACTAGCATCTAATCCTTTCTCTACCTGCTTTTTATCAGCCATTTTTCTGTGAACCAAGATGCAAGAGAAAGACTGGCAGAGCCAGGGGGACTGCTAAAAGAAGGATCAGCCTAAAATTACTAGTAGTTACAAATAAACTAAGTCCAACTTCCCCTTGACTGCCATTGACCCTTAACTAACTGTAACCTGGTGCTGATCATTAGTTGAGAAGGTTCTTGTGCATAGGCTTTTAAGCAATACAACAGTTAAATTGAACATTCACATGTGGACCTGGTCTTTTACACCTGACATAAGTACCGTATTTTCCGGTG